TCTAAGTTAATGGTCAAGCAGTCACAGCTACATACAAGGGTTGTTCAATGAGTCTTGTCCTGGCTAATAAAAAGGAATTGTTGAAGAATATGAAAACTAAGTTGCAGAATGTGATGTTAACCTTCAGTTTTAGTAAGTGTTTTACGGCACTTGCAACACAATAAGGTCATATAAGTGCCGAAGATTAGAGGTGTTACAAGAGAGTAACAAACACAAAAAAGAAGGAGGGGAGATAAAGACGATAGATATTTGATAGGAAAGAAGAAGCAAACCACACAAGAGCACCCGCCAACCACCAACAGTATCTACTGCTCAACAACAACAACAAAAACTACAGCAACAACAACAACAACAACAACAACAACAGACCGATATCAATAAAGAACAAAACTCTCAACTGAGTCGCTTCAAAACACTTCCAATTTACTTCAAGTGGTAAAATGCTGACATCAGCGCCTCGTCTACAAAGCCCACACATCAACAGCACACCACACACGCCAGCCGCAGTGCAAAAGCACCTCGCACAAGTACATACAAACAAACACACACACACACACACACAAATACATCTTCTATCACATCAATAGACTAGACCTCTGAACGAAGCTCAAAAAACACAAAAAGTAATCTCGCACCTCGCACAAATACATACAAACACACACACACACACACAAATACATCTTCTATCACATCAATAGACTAGACCTCTGAACGAAGCTTAAAAAACACAAACAGTAATCTCAAAAAAACGTCAAAAACAGTTTAACGAAATGACTAAATTGACATGAATATTAATTAGAGTGCAAATAAAATTGTGTCAGAATGCGATGGAATCTGGCGCTCGTCAATTTTTGGGCATGGGCAATTATTGACGTCATCTTAAAGCGTATTCATTTGTCTATCTTTCGATGAAAAAAATGTCCATCTATCTTGAATAGAAGTCGAGATATTTGTGATTGAAGGAAGTTGGTGTCGCCCGGTTTCTGAGGTAAAACTAGCAAAAAAATGACCCTAAATTTG